TCATAGATGATATGAGGTCAGGGAGATGCAGAATAAAAGGTACAATATAGGCAACAATTCCCAGCACTTTTTGTAAGTCTGTAACATTTGTCGGACTGAGGAATTTCTTTATTTCATCCACCTTACAGGGATCAGAGTGTACCCTGTTCTTGTCATAGATGGTGCCAAAGAAATGTATTTTCTTCTGGTCAACTGCACATTTGTCACTGTTGAATCTGAACTCTTTGATCTGTGCTATTTTCATAGTTGTGCAGGTTCCAGTTGTGTCCCTCTTTGATTTTACCAAATACTATGACATCATCGATTAAATCTAGTGTCCCAGGGCATTTCTACAGTATCATGTCCATTTTTTGCTGGAATACATCTTGGGACATTACCAGGCCAAAAGGCATTCTCTGGAAGCAATATCTTCCAAAGAGAAAGTTTAAAGTGTTCCATAGATGTGATTCAGAATCAAGTGTAATCTGTTATTGGCATCCAGTTTGGAAAAATTCTTGGTACCAGATAGTTTGTGGGCATCTTATGGTGACATTGCATGATAACCCTGTTTAGATCTTTTGGGTCTAAGCAAAGATAAAGTTTGACATTTCCTTTGTGGACATACACTAGTTTGTTGACTCATTCCGTAGGCTCACTTACTCTGCAAATGATACCATGTTTCACCATGTTATCTAACTCAGTCTTGATCTTAACTCTCGTATGGATGGGATATTTCTTAGATGCATGGATTACAGAGTGATTGTCTGGTTTTAGAACAATATGGTATTCACCCACAAAATTGCCTGTGCAGTCAAACTGATCTGGGTACATGTTTATTAGGACTTGATCTGAACTGGAGTTTTTTGAATGATGCAGTGCAGCATTACCAGTCCCAGGGTCTCTGAGCAAGAGTAGTCCTAATATAGTAGGTCCCTCTAAGGTCACCACAAAGAATTTCAGTGTTTTCTACTTCCCATGTAGGTACATTGTGTTTTAATGGACTCATGTTGAGTGATACTGGAACCATTATATGCAGTCAGTACAGTCTTTGTGATCAGGGGGCCTGGATGGGTTATGTATTGAGTTATATGCCCATTTATTTTTGTTCTGCCAACTGGATGCTAGTTGTGCTTTCCTATGCATTTTTACTTCCAGCATGCTTGCCCCTTATTATTTCCTGCTACCATGGACCCATACTTCTGGCATTCCTAGCCTTTATTATTTCCGGCTACTACAGACACTTACTTCCAACTACCATGGACCCTTATCTTCTGGCATTTATTATTTCCAGCTATCTCCGCAATCCTGACCTAAACTACTCAACGCCAACACTGGACATTTAAAATGTAACTTTCTTCTCCTTGGTTATATCATCCAGACTTCAAATAAACTATTTTGTACACTTCAGTTAAAATACTATGGAAAGTTCGCTATTGAACTCAACCAGCAACTATGCAACGCCAGCACCAGACATTTAAAATGGAACTTTCTTCTGCTTGGCTATATTGTCTAGACTCAAACAACCTACTCAGTACACTTCAGTTAAAATACTACTACCAGCAACTACTCATTGCCAGTACTTAAATCTTTAAATTGGACTTTCTTCTTGGCTATATGGTCCAGACTTCAAATAATCTATTCCGTACACTTTGGTTAAAACACTATAGAAGGTTCATTATTGGACTTAACCAGGAACTTTTCAACACTTTTGCTGACATATGAACTGAACTTTTAAACTATGCCAACTTAACTTACATGGACTCTACTTTTAACATTTAGTCACAGTTATATTATCTCGATCTTCTAGCTGGTCACTATCCCTTCATTTACTTATTTCTGCCTCCATTACTTGATTCATTGTTTATGTATTCATATCACCCAGATTTCAAACAATCTATTCCATACACTTGGTTTAAATACTATAGAAAGTTCCCCATTGACTTAACCAGCAACTATTCAAAACTTTTGTCGGACATTTGAAATGAACTTTCAAACTTTTTTTTTCATGCCATTAACTTACCTGGGGTCTACTTTTAACATTTCACAGATAGAGATTTAGATAATATAGCTTCATAGTTATATTATCTCGATCTTCTAGCCAGTCAGTATCCTTTCATTTACTTAATTTTGTCTCCATTACATGATTCATTGTTTGTTCATGTTCCTTTAATCCAAGCACATACTTTTATATATGATGTAAATAAATTTTGTATTAATTTTAAGTTTGTCATTTGTTGTCCTCTTGTTGACCTGTCAGATTTCACGTCTTTTATTTTTAAAATGTTAGTGGGCCTCTTGTGACATCTATCCCTTATTGGGGCGCACAGACCATGTTATATTGTGCCTCCCAGGGTGTCTATTACAGACTCAAACCACTGCATAAAATTTTAAAGGACAAACATTTATTACAGTTGACAGGAAAAGGAAAAAAATGAAAACATTTACATATAAGACTCTTACGAAAAAATTTCCTTTTGTGCACCTTATAAATAACTAGCTTAAAAACCATCATATTGAAAGATTATTTTTGTCTTTACAGATTTTAAATATTAAGTTCATATCTATTGTGTATAACATTATTCAGCATGCCCAAACTTTTTTATTTTTTTGTTATTGTTTCATAAAAGATAAATGGATGTTTATTTAAATTAAATTCATTGAATGGGTGTTGGTGTATGGAAGGGATATATGTGTTAACATACAAACAATTAAAAAAGTAAAAAAACCTTTTTTTTAGAAACTGTAGTGAAACAAATGGTGGAGTAGTGGATAGTGGAGGCATAGTGGAGTAGTGGATTGAGGAATCAGAGAGCCGAGTTCAAATTCCAGTCAGATCCATTACATTCACTTATGTGCTAATACCCTTTGGAAAGGTATATATCATCTTCTTCTCCCCCCAGCTATGGGGAAATAGCAGGACAGACCAGGTTCTATAGCCTTGGATGGCAACTGGCCTACCACAGAAAGAAATGGCAATCTACTCCGGGAAAAAATCTGCCTCGTCCGTCATGTATCGAAAGATACATGATTGCCTAAGTGTGTATCATGCATAGCACATAACTGACTGAATGAAATAAAGTTAACAATGTTTCTTGGGGATGTCCATTTTCTTTTTCTGGTCCAGAACTAAGTTAGGGTAAATAATGGTAAGCAAAGTTATAATGGTCGAGCTCAAGTCAGCCTTGCACTGAGTTGGAATGACCAAAGAAAGATTGTATTTACTGTACTGGTTTAAGAATGGTTACAATGGTTGTGCTCAAATCGGCCTTGCACTGAGTTGGAAATACAAAAGAAAGGTTGTATTTAATTTATTGGTAGCAGTTTAAGAATGGTTATAATGGTTGAGCTCAAGTCAGCCTTGCGTTGAATCATGGAGATTCAACAAAACTTGTCCGAACGCTAAATGGGAAGTAGAAGTTGTCAGTCGACTGGGGAAAAGAGACTTGTTCAGTGGGAACATCTTCGACTACATCTTGGAGCAAGAGGGAGAAAGTGGAAGGATATGTTTGTCTTTTTATAGAAATTAAACAGCACCATCTAATGGGTGTTTGGTGAAGCCAAGTGGGGTAATAAAATTTCCAATTCCTTTATTACTAAACTAATATCATGGGAAAATGTATTTATTTATTCATTACTACTATTTTATTGATTTTATTCATTTTCCCACAAATTTGGGTTGGAATAATTTTTTTTTTTTTTACAAATCGTTAGTCACTTCTGCTTTTTTAAAAAAATAAATGAATCAGTAAACTTTCAAATTTTATTGTTTTTTAATTTTTTTATCCATTGCAACAAATATTGCTCCTTAAGTTTTTTTTACTTTACTAATTTCTTAAAATAAAAAGATAATAAAAAATAAATGCAACTGGTGCATTCAAAATTCAAAGCCTTCGTCTTAAAAAAATTGTTACCTAAATTAATAATATTTAATTTAGTTTTGATAATTTAAAAAAAATCAGATCGAATATTCTTCTTATATGAAACAATGCATTATTATTTTATTTAAAAAAAAATGTATTTCGAACAAAAAAATCACTTTCTTCGTAACTTTTCAAAGTTAAATTAAAAATAAATCAGATTAACTTTGAAAGGAAAAAAAATCCCAACATACAGCACAAGTTTCTACAATAAAAAAATGAAAATAATCGTTATTTCATTCTACAAAGAAAAATATATTTTACAAAGAAAACTGAGTATAAAAGCCATTATTTTTTCACTTGTCCCTTTTTCGCAGTTCTACCTAAAAGATTGAATCAGTTGAAATGTACGAGGTCTTTGAGCAAACAAAACTACGGATGTTCAATCAAGACCAAGTTGAAATCTTCAAAGCAAAATATCTTCATTTAATTAATTAATTTAAATTTAATAGAAGCATTATATTTTTTTATTTGGATTCTTTTCTTAAAATGTTTTTTTTTTTTAAATTAGAAGAATAATTTCGTGAGTTTTATTTTTATCACAATGTAAAATAAATTTACAAATATTATTTTAATAATTAAAAAAATAAATATTTTGAAATTTAGATTATTTTATTTTAGAGAATATTAAAATCATTTATTTTTCTATTTAGAAATCTTTTTTAAGAAGTGAAATAGAGACAATTATTAATATAACAGGAATAACTGAAAAAAAGGTCATTAAATCACTTTCGAGCATCCATATGGAAAAGGTTTCTCGCGTCGAGTATTACCGATTAGTAGAAGCCTCAAATAATGGCAGTTGTCTGAAGAGGTAAGGTAGGCATCGTCACCAGAAAGAAACGAAATAGTAGTGCAAATAGCTCAATTAGTTGGGTTTTTAATGATATTACTCTTGCTGCTGGTCGTGATTCTGTGAAATCAGTTAAGCTGTTGGTGGTGGGTTGAAAGAGAAGATTTTTATTGTAGAACTGCTATTTTCATTTGTCTTGATGTTTTCTGTCGTGTCGGCTTGACCGTCGTGAAAGGTTTGCTTGCAAAACAAAAAAAACCCAAAAAGGGCCCAGCAAGCTGGAGAAAATCCCGGATTATCTTAGAGATACTATGGACTGGTTTATGGGGTCAGTACTACCTTTTTTTATTAGTCATCATTTAACTTGCTTCTTTTTTTCTTTCTTTCTTTTAACACAAATCCAGTTTAAAAATATATTTATTTTGCAATCCTTTTTTTCTTGACAATTTATCTTTTCAATCTACATACCTCCCTTTTTTTAAAAATATTTATATTCCTATATTCTCTTACCTTTTTTTTTTTTTTTTTTTTTTCAAGGATAATCAATGACGTAAATTTAATTTTTTAAAAATTATTTTCTGAATATATATATATATATATTTTTTTTTTTTGTGTGTTGTGAATCGAAGATGCGTCAACCTTCATTAATTATTCACTTGATGAGATTCATTTTTAAATTCAATATTTTTTACTTTTCTATTTTTAAACATTAAGGTTGATTCCTTTTTTAGATAAGAAAAAAAGTTCTATAAAACCTCGATATTGTATGAAATCATCAACTTTTTATTTTAATTTCCTCTCTAACTAAACAAAACTTCATAAAATATAAACAGTAAAAAAAAAAAGTGACCACTTTCGTTTTTGATTTTTGATTTTTCTCCTATTGAAATATATAGTAATAACTTTTGTTAAAGACTAATAATTGTAATTTAATTGTTTTCTTCCTGAATTTTTAATGTTAAGATAAGTTAAATTGATTAACTCAGATCAACAGATTTTTTTTCTTTATATATCCTGTCTGACAATTTTTTTTTTCTTTTCGTTTATTAAAAAAAAAAAATTCAAATCGCTTTCATTTTTTTTACGTTTTAATTTAAAAACTTCAATTTCTTCACTAATTTTGCTGAAATTTTGTAGCTAAATTTTGGAAGAATTCTGTGGAGGGTGGGGAAAATTAGCAAGGATTGTCATCCTCCCCTCAAAATCAACGAATTTTTATTTTAAGAGTTTTTCGCTATCAGTGCTTTTTTTTAATTTGAAAGTAAATTTAAGAAAAAATTGTTAAAATATTATTTTTTCCTAAGTAAATTTCATAACTTCTGTTCATTTCATTTTAATTTTTTTTTTCTAAACCTAAAAAGTTCTTTACTTTTCCGCAAAGTAAATTTTATAAATAAATGATAAATCCTTTCTTTATTTAACCTTCATGTCATCGATCTGATGTGATCGATTTTTTGAAATCTAAAAGACATTGGATGTTGCTCATTTTGTTTTTTAAATTCCTGTCTAATATTTTTTTAAATAATCGTATATTTGGATTTTGTTTCTTTTATAAAATTTACCTTCCTTATTTTATTTCACTTGTCATTTATGCTCTCCACAAAGAAAGAAAAAAAAAACGTTTATGTTCTTTGTGCGAAATAAAGTAGGAATTATGAAAGTTTCATCTTTGGTAAATTATTTTCTTTGAACTTATTTGCTTTTCTCCCGCCATTTTTTTTTTTTTTTTTTTTTTTTTTTTTCATTTTACTAAAAAAATTTATGTTTAAATTTACTCTTCATAACTATACAAATTCGGTCTTCATATTTGAAATTAAATATAAATTTTTTTTTTTATTATACTTTTTTAACAGCACTTTCTTTTTAGATCTAAAACTAGTATAAAAAAAATCTCGAAAGTTGCAATGCAGTATTTTTTTTCTTGTCCGGAATTTCTCAAGTTACCATTTTTTTTTATCGTAATCTGTACTGCAGACAAGTCTACAAAAAGAAATCCTATTTTAACTAAAAAGCCTAAGAGAGTCATGATTTTATTTTTCAATCTGTCTGAGTAAAAATTGTTAAATAATGTATTTTGAAAAAAAAATATTGATGTGAATTTTTAAAAATATTACGTCATGTCAAATGTAAAAAGTGTTTTTTCTTAATTGTGCGATTATTTATAAATATCAAATTACAACAAAAAAGCAAGAAAAAAAACAAAAAAACACTTGTTTTTTAGGTTGTAGAAAAACAGTTTTTTTAAAAAAAAATTCGAAAATGCTTCTTCATCTGAATTCAAGTTAAAGATGATTTTTTAAAAATTTTTACTTGTTTTTCTTTTATGCTATGTTTGTTTATATATTTTTTAACTATAGATTTTTTTCTGCAAATAATTATAAATAAAATATTTTTTACTCTTTTAATTTTCTTTTGCAATGACTATCAGTTTCCGTCCGTTTTTATTTTTTTTATTCTTTAATTTTTAAAATAATGATTAAAAAATAAAATGATTGCTTCAAACTGCATCCATTCACCACACTGAGACATGATAAAAAAATTATCAATATGAGGACTGGCAATCATTTGATGATTTTATTTATTATTATTATTTTATTTATTTATTTTTTTTTTTTTTTTTTTTTTTTTCGATTAAGAGTATTTAAATCAGAGGAAAACAGAATCATGTAATAATTTTTTTTTTCCTGAATTAAAAAAAGAAAATGAAACGAAAATTATTTTGTATCAAAGATTTTTTTTCTTTATTTTTAAAACAACTTTATTAGAATTTTAAATTAAATGATTTTATTATTGTAGCAACATAAATTAATTTTGATTTTTTTTTTTTTTTTTTTTTTTTTTTATTTTTTTATAATTAAAAAAAAAACAAAAAAAACCGTGACAAAAATTGTATACAATCTTTGTTAGGAGGAAAGGTTTCTAAATAATTTCTTAAAAAAATAAAATGTTTTTAGTTTTAAAGAAATTTGAATATCTGATTTATTTTTCAAACCTTAAAAAAACATTTTTTACCTTTTTTTAATTGTCATTGTTTTTCGTTGCTGATTTGTTTTTTAATTGTAAATTAAATAATTATTATTGTTTCAATTTTAAATCAAATAGAATTGTAATTATTACTTTAGTTTTCGCATTCATTTTTAAAACAATGACTGATTGTACTCACTGTAGTAAGTGTAGTGTAGTTAAAAATAAACAGAAACTCAACATAGTTTTTGTTTGTCCTTTTAAATTTCGAACTTTTAAAAAAAATGACCAAAAAAACAGCATCTGTCACGTTTTCTCATCTTTTGTTAAAAATAAAATATGATATTCCAGAATGAAAAGCAAGCTATATTTTTCTTTTAAAAAAAAATCTACACAGAACATATTTGTCAAAGACAAAGATAAAAAAAAAAAACACTTTTGTTTTGGGATCATAAATATCACTTAAAAATATTAATGAATAATTGTTTTTAAAGAATGACTGAAAAGATCAATTGTAGATTAGTTTTTTTTTTTTTTTTTTTAGCTGCAAACTCAGGAAATTTTTTACTTTTGACTTTTTGAGGAACGTAAATAAATTGGTCTTTCGTAAAAGACGGAAACTCAATCAATTTTTCTACGATTTTATGATGAAGAAATGATTGTTGAAATCAATCATTAAAAATTAAAAAATATTATTCAGATTTTCTGTTTTCGTTGTTTATTTTATAAATTGATTAATGATCGAACATTTTGTCTGATTATTAACAAAGAGGTTATGATGCATAGCATCTTTTGATAAAAAATTGATGGTGTCAATTACGACGACAAATTTAGTGTTTGTAAACAGGCCATCATTAACGATAATATTTCAGTTAAAAATCTTTTCCGGTTTGTATCAGAAAAAAAATCTTTAACAAGATTTTCTGCAAAATATTTAACTTTTTAGTCCGTCTTATTTTATATATATATATATATATATATATTTTTTTTTTTTTTTGTTGGTTAAACCTGATTTTATTTTTCATTCATTCTCAAAATTACGCAAATAAATAAATAAAAAACAAAAAAAAAAGTAATCCAAATTGAACTGAAATCCAAATTTATTATGATTTTTTAATCTTTCTCCAGTTTTTGTTTAAGGAAGCCTATCATTTAAAAACCCACACATTCACACACGAAATGTTTTCTTTTTCCATCTATAAAGGCATTTTTGAATAATTTATTGCTGTTTGATGTTTTATTTTTATTTTATTTAATAAAGGTTGGGGCATATTTTTCGTCTCCGATTTTTTTTTTTTTTTTTTTTTTTTTAGTGCTCAACTTGATGCTATTTATTTAGGTAGTGTTGAGTATATTTCCTTTGAATGATGAGATCATTGTGTTTCATTTTTTTTTCTTTTGATGAGGATGCACCTAAAACGTTTTGAGGAATTCCTATGGATCTTTAAGTCTGCTGAGACAAAGTTGCGTAAAAAGATTAACACATCTACAAAAAAACTCTTTTCTTGAAGTTTAAGAAAGTCAGTTTTTAAATTGTTTTTAAATGGGGGTTTCTAAAATTTAGACAACATACGAATGATTTATTTATTTTATCGTGTTAGTTATTCATTTATGGATCAGTAATTCCATAACAGTAGTAGTACTACAGTACACAGTTAGCTAAATTTTGAACTAAATTTTTTTAGTTTTTATAATTTATTTAATGTTGGATGTATGAGATCTGAATAAAAAGTATTATTGTTACTGCTTGTTAGTGTTCTGTAAGTTAAAGTAGTATTGATGAACAAGGATTTTATGATGTTGAAGTTGCTTTATTATTTATTTTTAGATTTCGGGTTTATTGACCTATTTATTCTTCCTTACACATGAATTCTGCTCCTTATTTTTAATTAAACTTTTTTTTTTTTGCGTGCAAGTAGTAAAGAGATCCTTAAAAAATGCTAAAATTAATTAATTGCTTGTTGGTGGTATACAATTAGGCATTGCAATCAGAAATAATTTTATTTATTTTTTTTTTCATATCACTATGGATTTTTAAGGCTTTTCTAACCATTAAGCACTCCAGATCACAAATATATATATATATATATATATATATATATATATATATATATATATATATATATAATATGAATTTTAAAACTAAAAGTTAACGGATGAGTCTAGTTTCCGATGTAAATCGATTCTCCCAACGGAAGACAAAAAAACAAATATACGCTCATGACGTGATTTCTGAAAATTCCTTTTTGCGTTTTAACGTGTAGCTTTTGTACTTGAAAAATAAACAAAAAAAAAACAACATGTATTTGGAAATTTCAGGCTGTTTCATGCTAGATGCAATTGTCAGGCCTGACCATTGCGTCT